TAATGAAAACCTGTGATAAACCAGTGTATTGAAGATAAAATGAGCAGAGTAAAGATCATATCTATAAATTGCAGAGGTATATCTGCACACCAGGGGAGCTGACGTAATATTAGATAATAATCAGACCTATCTGATTATTATTGTTATTTGTATTGTTATTGTAGTTTTACAAGCATAGATAATTGTGCACAACGCAAAACTCAGAGAAGCAACAGACTTTCCAATTTAGATAATTGTTTGAATAATTTATAATCGGTTGGTTGATAGGCATTAATCTACATAATTAGTATTATTATGCAAATTTAGAGTTCAAGTGGATTCCATTAAACCGCAGATACTTCTACCTAAATTTGAATATTTAAACTTTAAATATTTTTATTCATAAACTTTATTTTTATAAGTTTTGCATGAGAGGTACAATACAAATTGTTTTCCAATTATAGTTTTCTAAAGGTTTGCCCAGTTAACAATATTTCAGTTTTCAAAATGGCGGATTCCAAGGTCTAGGTAAAATATCAGCAAAACTATCAAATTTGAATTACCCCTTCTTTAACATGTTTGATATTTTAGAGTTACCCACAAAAGATAATAATATAATGACGACCTGAAATTCCTTAGATATGACAATTTGAAGGGTAAATTTGGTATTTAGAAGATAAAATAGTCTTCTAAGGGACTATTCAATAAATTGAAGAATAAATGAGAAAGAATAAAATTCTGTGAACCTGGAAAGTTAGAAATAAGTCTAAATAAATGTTGTGAAGTCGTCTCTCAGTCTCATCTTTTGTGGGTAACCATGTAGATGGAATCATAAAGTAGATGATATGTTAGAATAAATGATATGTTGGAGTAGATGTTATGTTTGAGTAGATGATATGTTAGAGTAGATGATATGTTATAGTAGATGATATGTTAGAGTAGATGATATGTTAGAGTAGATGATATGTTATAGTAGATGATATGTTAGAGTAGATGATATGTTAGAGTAGATGATATGTTAGAGTAGATGATGTGCTAAAGTAAGCTGTAGGGGATAGAATAGGAATTGGTTGATAAAGACCATGATTCAACCCCCCGCAGTTAATCTAATAAGCTGTGATGATAGAACATTGTTAATTAGAACATATTTATAAACATATTAGACTTTCAGGGTCAAACTTAACCTTGATTAGACCGGCAGTAATGGGTTACTCTTTAGGCATATTTAACAAGATTAAACTTGTATTTTATCTTTGTCTTGTAAGTGCAAAAACTCTTTTAAAACATTTAACAAGATTAAACTTGAATATTATCCTTGTCTTGTCAGTGCAAAAACTCTTTAGGCATATTTGACAAGAATAAACTTGAATATTATCTTTGTCTTGTCAGTGCAAAAACTCTTTTAAAATATTCAACAAGATTAAGATTGCATTTTATCTTTGTCTTGTCAGTGCAAAAACTCTTTTAAAATATTTAACAAGATTAAGATTGCATTTTATCTTTGTCTTGCAGTGCAAAAACTCTTTTAAACTATTTAACAAGATTAAGCTGGTATTTTGTCCTTGTCTTGTCAGAGCAAAACTCTTTTAAAATATTTAAAAACATTAAGATTGTATTTTATCCTTGTCTTGACAAAGCAAACACTTTTTGAAATATTTAACAAGATTATTGTAGAACTATTTATATCCATTTTCTTAGGATTATGTATCTTTTGGTGTAAAGTAACGTTTGGTCTAAAGTAACATTTGGTCTAAAGTAACATTTGGTCTAAAGTAACATTTGGTCTAAAGTAACATTTGGTCTAAAGTAACATTTGGTCTAAAGTAACATTTGGTCTAAAGTAACATTTGGTTTAAAGTAACATTTTGTCTAAAGTCTAAAGTAACATTTGGTCTAAAGTAACATTTTGTCTAAAGTAACATTTGGTCTAAAGTAGCATTTGGTCTCAAATAACTGTTGGTCTAAAGTGACATTTCGTCTAAAGTGATATTTCGTCTAAATTGACATTTTGTCTAGAGTGACATTTCGTCTAAAGTGACATTTTGTCTAGAGTGACATTTCGTCTAAAGTGACATTTCGTCTAAAAAAGCTTTTGGTGTAAAGTAACATTTTGTCTTAATCAACCTTTAACTTTTGTTATGAATATGTTTTATCTAAAACAAACACCTAACCCAACGAATCATACCCCAATCTAGACTAACCAATCCATAAAAACCGGCCAACACCTCTTAAACCAAATGCAATCAGTTTTTACCGGCATACCTAACCTCTTTGCCATAAAAACCGACCAAACACCTTCTAAACATAAATCGACATAAGTTGACTAACCCCTTTTACATATTGACTAACATGGCGAACATGTTTCTGGCAAACAGTCTCAATCTATGTGAGTGCACGCACAACACAAGCAAAAAGTTGAACTTTGATGTATTTAAATAGAAGATGGGTGCCTCGGGTCGAGGAACCGCTCTCATTTGAGTTATAAAGCGTGATGCCTTTAATGACAGGGGGCGGGTACTAATACAGGGAGGTTTGGGGGAGTACTAATACAGGGAGGTTAAGGGGGGGGGCATCAATACAGGCAGGTTAAGGGGGGTACTAATACAGACAGGTTAGGGGGGTACTAATACTAATTGAATGGACACAAAGAAGTATGATCTATGTCTGACAAAGTTCATTAAAAAAATGTTGTTTCGTAACTTTAATAAATGATAGTCTTCAGTAAAAAAGGTTTAACAGAATTTGAGAATGATGATGCACATCATAGATTACTAAAGGATTTGAGTCTTTGCTACAAACTCTGATTTTTCTAATATCTTTGCAACCCGATGTCGTAAACCGTAATATTCAAACTATAATTTTGTTTAAACTATTAGGTTGAAAAGATGTTGTAATTCGAATATTTGAGTTTGTCGCAAAAACTAAATTCCTTTGTTTGATGTAATACAAGATCAAATGAAAGAAGGAAAATGTGCAAAAATTACTTTGCATCTATTAATTCCTCTCATGCTGAATACCTGAGATAAGATTTAAGAAAGATCAGGACTCTAGGCTTATCTTAATATCCGTATAGTAAACGTCTAGTATTCAAATCTACCCGGAGTAATTAGCCAGGTTTACAATATACTAAACCAGGTTATATTTCCTAAATCAAGACTCAAGGGAGGAAATAAAACCAGTCTATATCAGTCATCTTTTCTCTCATCAAGGGTTTCATTGCAGCTTTGCATCATTTTGCAATCATTTTATTTCGATAAAATTGAGTATTTGCCACAAACTCTGATTTTCTAACCCCCCTTTCACTTTCCAGCCCAATATCCTAAACCTTAGATATTTCTAACTATGCATTCAGTTTGAACAAATAATCTAAGTACACCATGAGATGGCAAGGATATTGTGATTTAAAGATTTTATTTTGTGACAAAGACTTAATTCCTTCAGGAGTGTCCTTTTATTTTTGTACTTTTTCAATTTAATCTTTATTTACATTCGATGAATTTTGAAATTCTACTTTCCCCAAAACAATACTTAAAAAAATAAATATGTCAAGAAGAAAATGAAATAAAACAAGATTTTCTGATTCTTATATTATTTGCAAATTGAAATTTTATAGGTTTACACCATGAGGTTGCAAAGATAAAGGGAATTAGGAATATAGGGATTTGGGTTCGAGACAAAGACTCAATTCCTTTTTGCAATTTGCAAAATTAAATGTTCTGCTAGATTCAGTTTGTGAGCTTACTTTATGTAAACTGTCCAGTCTGTTGTATAATGGTATAAGATGGCTGTACTGTCCAGTCTATTGTATAATGGTATAAGATGACTGTACTGTCCAGTCTATTGTATAATGGTATAAGATGACTGTACTGTCCAGTCTGTTGTATAATGGTATAAGATGGCTGTACTGTCCAGTCTGTTGTATAATGGTATAAGATGACTGTACTGTCCAGTCTGTTGTATAATGGTATAAGATGACTGTACTGTCCAGTCTATTGTATAATGGTATAAGATGGCTGTAAGTTCACATGCAATCTCAGCATTTGAATACTTAACTGCATATTACTCGGAGCTATCAAACATTCCCAGGCAGTTGCCTGCTCCGGGCTCCAGTCTTGTTCTCAACCTAGGCTCATCATTTAACCCTCTGCTTTCTCTTTTCTCCAGTATATTATCTATACTGGAGACTCTATTCCGTTCTCCAGTATATTCTCTATACTGGAGACTATTTAGATACTCTTCTCTGTTCTCCAGTATATTCTCTATACTGGAGACTATATAGATACTCTACTCTGTTCTCCAGTACATTCTCTATACTGGAGACTATATAGATACTTTACTCCGTTCTCCAGTATATTCTCTATACTTGGAGACTATATAGATACTCTACTCCGTTCTCCAGTATATTCTCTATATATTTTTCATGATTGTTTAAACTTAAACTTTTTTACATTTTTGTAATGTGATTTAATGAGTATAGTTTAATATTAGAAACTCAATAATATATTTGCTATAACTGGTTGACTGGGTGGGTTTATGTTGGTTAGACTCCTGCTGTTTACCTCACTAGGGGTCTAAACTAGGGTTTCCTAGTATAAATTGTTCATTGTTTAAACTTTCATTGTCTTCACTTTGCTCTTGTTGCAGTTGAACCAATGTTTACAAACAATTCACCATGATCTCTGCAAGTTGTGTTTACATTTCCTCTTCATATCCCACACCATAGGTTGGGAACCCAGATTAGCCTGGAAAATAAACTTTCTCTCGTGGTTCTATCGAGTTCTCGAAACAAAATTTGAGGCAAATAGGTCTAATGGTTCTTGATTTATGATCGGACATACAAATAACCATAGAAACAGATATTACTACTTTATATTTGCATATATATATAGAAGAATCAAAATCTTACTTTTAACAATATTTTTAAAAGGAAAGTATCAGATTGAAAATAAACGGAGGTTAGAGTAAAACGATAAAAAAACACTTATTCAATCAATGGTATAAAATGATTTTGAAGCTCATACATGGGTTCCTACGGCAAGGACGAGTACGTGCATTCCTACGGCAAGGTCGAGTACATGGATTCCTACGGCAAGGACGAGTACATGGATTCCTACGGCAAGGACGAGTACGTGCATTCCTACGGCAAGGACGAGTACATGGATTCCTACAGCAAGGACGAGTACGTGGATTCCTACGGCAAGGGCGCTGGACGAGTACATGGACTCCTACGGCAAGGAAGAGTACGTGGATTCCTACGGCAAGGACGAGTACGTGGATTCCTACTGTAAGGACGAGTACGTGGATTCCTATGGAAAGGACGAGTTCGTGGATTCCTACGGCGAGGAAGATTTCTTGGATTCCTACGGCAAGGAAGAGTACGTGGATTCCTACGGCAAGGACGAGTACGTGGATTCCTACTGTAAGGACGCGTACGTGGATTCCTATGGAAAGGACGAGTTCGTGGATTCCTACGGCGAGGAAGAGTACGTGGATTCCTACGGCAAGGAAGAGTACGTGGATTCCTACGGCAAGGAAGAGTATGTGGATGCCTACGGCAAGGACGAGTACGTGGATTCCTACGGCAAGGAAGAGTACGTACATTAAATAAAAAGACTAGTTCATTTAAGTTAATATATAAAACGACTAATATTTAGAACCAGTACTGTTTTGAATAGTGTAATACTATCCTTTATTAAGGGCAAAAGGGTGAGAATTGAGGGGCCCCTGGTCCCCCCTGAAATATAAGTTTCCACAAATAGTGATACGGTTTTGATCGGAAACTGCAAATGATGTTTTGAGTTATCTAGAAAATCAATTACAAATGAGATGAGAGGGAGGGGGGGAAAGGAAATGATATTCTTGTGATTTCTTTTTGATATTAAATTCCATTGATCGGATTATCTGACAGTTATTAAATTAACCTAAAGTGGTTCAGCTTCAATTTGATCTAAAGGAGGGTTGCAAGATTATTAAATATTTAAATGATTTCAGTATTTTCAAAGTATGAGATGCTCCCTGTGCACTATGAAGTACCAAAATACTTTGAATGAAAAACTTTGCAATAATATTTTTCCCGATTACATCATTCAAAATATTTGCAAACTATTTGCTTATATTTAATTTAACCGCCTTTATCTGCAATTTAATGTTTAAAATAGTATTGCGCAGTTTCTAATATGCTACACAGTACACACCTCGGTTTTGATTTTTACTTTTTATGTGTTAAATTATATTTGATATTTTTGTTTATTTTATTGTTTTTTCGTTGTCCTTTATATGCTTACAATTTGTTTAAAGTTAATTTCTCGAATACTTGATAAATATTTGTGGTTTGCACTCTGTTCTTTATTTAGTTCTTGGCAATATATTATTTATTGTGTTGTTGTGTTCTTTGTTATCTATCTTTGATAAGTATTTCTTATTGTGTTGTGTTCTCTGTTCTTTCTTTAGTGACCACTATTGGCAATGTATATATATTTTTATTGTGTTGTTGTGTTCTCTGTTCTCTAGTTGGCAATATATTATTTATTGTGTTTTTGTGTCCTCTGTTCTCTAGTTGGCAATATATTATTCATTGTGTTGTTGTGTTCTCTGTTCTCTAGTTGGCAATATATTATTTATTGTGTTGTTGTGTTCTCTGTTCTCTAGTTGGCAGTATATTATTTATTGTGTTGTTGTGTTCTCTGTTCTCTAGTTGGTAATATATTATTTATTGTGTTGTTGTGTTCTCTGTTCTGATGAATGAAAACCGCAATTAAGCTGGCACACTTTTTGTTTCGATTAGCTTTGGATTAGGTTTGTTTTTGAATTGAGCAAATTAAGATTTTGAAGGCTGGCATAATGTAGCAAGCTGAGAAGGAAGCAAGGATTGGATTGATCTGAAACGTTCAGAATCATAGTCGGATTGGAAATTATTTGTAAAAAAGAAAATTAGAAAGCGGTCCGGATTTGAACTGTAAAGCATATTGAAGAAAAAAAGGAAAATTTATTTAAAAAAGGAAATGGATTAATAAAATAAAAATGTTCTAAATTATGAAAATGGATTTATTATATGAAAATGGATCTAAAAACTGAAAATGTACCAATAAAATGAAAATGGATCTATAAAATAAAAATGGATATAAAAAAAGAAAATAAATTTAAAAACTGAAAATGTATCAATGAAATGAAAATGGATCTATAAAATAAACATGGATCTATAAAATGAAAATGGATCTATAAAATGAAAATGGATATAAAAAAAGAAAAAGGAATTTAAAACTGAAAATATATCAATGAAATGAAAATGGATCTATAAAATGAAAATGGATCTAAAAATGAAAATGAATTTAAAAAATGAATATGTATTTAAAAATGAAAATGTATTAAAAACTGAAAATGTATCAATAAAATGAAAATGGATCTACAAGATGTAAGTTGATCTATACAATGAAAATGGATCTACAAGATGTAAGTTGATCTATACAATGAAAACGAATTACAGAATTTAAAAACTAAAAATGTATCTTTAAAATGAAAATTACAAAAAGTGAAAATGTTTCTGTATAAAATGAAATGATTCTATGAAATAAATCGTAATTTTGTGTAAAATGTAGTTTGCTTGAGCAAGTTTAGACAAGGGTTGTAAATAAAATTGCTGGTTGTGGTTGCGGGGTTTAAAATGGGGAAAAGAGAGAGAGAAGATAAAGGTAAGAAAGAAGGTAAAGGGAAGAGAGAAGGTAAAGGAAAGAAAGATGGTAAAGAGAAGAGATAAGGTAAAAGAAAAAGAGAATGAGAGAAGATTTAAAGGTTAATGTCTCCATCTATCATAGTTTATTTTCCTACTTACAATTATGTCTCTTTCCTTTCTCATTTCCTCCGTCACATTCTCATCATTTTTCCACTTCTTCCTCACCTTCCTTCTTCACCTAGATTTAACCCCAATCCCCCTTCCATAGTTAACCCTTTATCTTTATACATAGTTCCCCTTTATCTTTATACATAGTTCTAGCCATTATCCCTGAATTCTTGAAACCATTTCCTGTCTCTTTTTGTTAAATTTACTAACAGAATACCAAATTTTAAATTCAAGGCGTCTCATGGAGACGAACTTACTCCCAGAGTTAATCAGCCAATATGGACTAAAACGCAAAACCAGACGTATGGTAATAATCCTAATAGCTTTATTTAAAAGTAGCTTGGAAACCCAGCTTTTCCCATAGTTACTCCCACCGTTTACTTGCACTTGGTCGTAAATTAAGGTTTTAGCTATTTTTCCCTAAACGCAGGTCGAACCACTCAATTTAGAGTCTCTATACCAAGTTAAGAACATTCCCGTGGTTCTACCGATTTCCAAAATACAAATTTGAGGCAAATCAGTCTAGGGGTTCATGAGTGATGATCGGAAATCCAAACAAACAAACAAAGATTACTACTTTATATATAAAGATAAAGGTTAAAACGTTTCAACTTTTTTTCTTCTGAATTATTTTTGGAGAGCCTGTAAATGGTGATGTAGAGCACGTGAAAACTATATTCTAGGATGGGTTCCGATTATCTCTGGTATCTAAATATGTATCTATATCTGTATCTAGGTTCAGGATCAGATGTCAAGGTCTGAAATATAATCTTTGAATGCTGTTATTACCCACCTCCCTACCTCGCCTAAACCCCCACCCCTGATATTCGTGGTTTCTGCTCATCCCTAGAGCACTCAAGAATCAACAAAAACTTAACTTTTCCATCAAATTCAAGTTCAATTCAACGCTGATGAAATTCTTCAGAGTTTTTGCTTCAATAGCTTCCAGGATAGTTTGAGCTGAAGAATGGGTTGAGGGTGTGGGAGGATTCGGAGCAGGATAGGAATGATATTAATCAGAGCATGATAAAGAAGCTAGAGAAGGATAGAGTAGAGCAGAAAAGAAAAACCTATAATAGTATAGTATAGACAACCCAGAGCAGGATAAAGAACCTGGTGTTGGATTCAGTAGAATAGGATAGAACATCCAGAACAGGATAGTATATCTAACCCAGAGCAGGATAAAGAACCTGGACAAGGATTGAGATAAATAGGATAGAAAACTTATAACAGGATAGTTTAGACAACCACAACAGGATAACGAACCTAGGGAAGGATAGCATAGAGCAGGATAGAAAACTCATACTAGTATCGTACAATCAGCCCAGAGCCGGGCAATGAACCTGGAGAAGGATAGAGAAGAGCAGAATAGAAAACCCAAACCAGGATAGCATGACAACCCATAGCAGGATAAAGAACCTGGATTAGAATAGAGTAGAGTAAGATACAAAACCCAGAATAGGACTAGGATTAAAAAAAACAGAGCAGAACAGGATATAGATCCCAGAGCAGGATAGAATATAGATCCCAGAGCTGGATAGGATAGAGAACCCTGAGTAGGATGGGATAGATAGCCCTGAGTAGGATAGGATAGAGAACCCATAGTAGGATGGGATATAGATCCCAGAGCAGGATAGGATAGAGAACCCTGATTTAGATGGGATAGATAACCCTGAGTAGGATAGGGTAAAGAACCAAGAGCAGGATAGGATAGAAAACCCAGAGTAGGATAGAATAAAGAACCCAGAGCAGGATAGTATAGAGAACCCAGAGCAAGATAGTATAGAAAACCAAGAGTAGGATATGATAGAGAACTCAGATTCGGATAGTATTAAGAACCCAGAGCAGAATAGGATTGAGAACCCAGAGCAGGATAGGATGGAGAACTCAGAGTCGGATAGTAATGAGAACCCAGACTGGGATGGGATACGAAACCCACAGTACGATTGGAATGAGAACCCAGAGTAGAAATGAAAATAAAAACAAAGAGCAGGATAGAACAGAAAATCCATAGTTGGATAGGATGGAAAACCCAGAGTAGGAAAGGATAGAGATCCCAGAGCAGGATAGGATAGAGAGCCCAGAGTAAGATAGTAGGAAACCAAGAGTAAATTGGACAGATAACTCAGAGTCGAATAGTATAGAGAACCCAGAGCAGGATATGATAGAGAACCCAGAGCAGGATAGAATAGATAACTCAGAGTAGGATAGGATAGAGAACCCAGAGTAGACTAGAATCCTTGATTGAAAATGTAACGGAGGATAGGATAAAGAATCCAGAGAAGACCTAAAGTAGGCTAAAAAAGATGTAAATAGGAAAAAAAGAAGATAGAATAATAGGATACTAGGATAGAGTACAACAGAACTATGTGAATGCAGTCCTGAGATTAAACAAGGGTTTAACAACCGTAAATACAATAAAGAAGAGGTCTATAAAACCTGAGATAAGAATTTAGAAAGCGAACCTCAGTTGGTCAATAGATCAAAATAGTTTTATATAAACAGGGTTTCCTTTTCCTAATTTTATATCTAGTTGGACAATAGATCAAAATAGTTTTATATAAAACAGGGTTTACTTTTCCTAATTTTATATCTAACCTCAGTTGGACAATAGATCAAAATATTTTTATATAAACAGGGTTTCCTTTTCCTAATTTTATATTTAGTTGGACAATAGATCAAAATAGTTTTATATAAAACAGGGTTTACTTTTCCTAATTTTATATCTAACCTCAGTTGGACCATAGATCAAAATAGTTTTATATAA